ATGGTGGCCAGGGACGTGATGTGGTTGGTATGGCTAAATAAGAATTTCGCTTCTCCACTTCTAATCTATTATTACGTGTATAACTTATGTTGGTCGATTCTACTTTTCTCAGATCCGGTTTATTTTTATAATTCTCAAAAGCGGACAAGTAACCTGAATAGAATTGTTCAGGCGTTTCACATTTAAATGCTTTTGCATTATTTTGTAAATCGTGTGGCAGCCCTTTAATTAAACAAGAGAGAGAGGCGGCGTCGTCAAGTCTACAGCGATGACACATTGCTAATTTATCATGATAATAATGTGTGATTGTTTCATTATGCAACTTTTTCCTGGATACTAATTCTTCTAACATGTCAGCATACTCGAAACTTCTAGGAAATGCTTTGATCAATAAAGATTTCCATTGATCCCAAGTATAATTATATTCGTCAAGACGACTAAACCATAACTGAGCTTGGCCTACAAGACGAGTTTGCATTATGACTATTTTAGAGTAGTCATCCCATTTGTGAACCATACCTAACTGATCAATTTTTGCCAACCAATTTTTAATATTAGTATCATAATTATCCGGATCAAACGTAGGTATAATTTTCTCACCCGAAACATTCCGCAACGGCCGTGAATCACCACAAAACTTTTCAACCATCTTTTCTAATTTATCGGTTAATAATTGCTCAAGTAACACATTAGGATGTATATCTTCTTCAGAATCACCGTGATTAGATGACCCATGACTATGTATTTGATCTATGTGTAACGTCCCAGCACTAGTCGCGATATCCGACTGAGATCTAGATTTTTTTGACTGTTTAAAAGGACACTGTTCCTATATTTTTTTGATCGCTTCATTTTAAGTTCTTTTATTAAAATCCCACTTCTGAATGTAAAATGAAACGTTTCTTATGCTTCAATACAATTTAATTCACTTGTACAATCAACTGTTCATTATACTTCAATACTTTCAATCACTTTAGTTTCATTTAATACTTTTAACACTCAAGTTATTATTCTCACAAGACCTGTCGCACACGCCGACGCTTGGATACATAGTGTCGTGTTTCGGCGCGCCCTGGTGGCGCCAGCCTGGTCGGCATTGCTCGCGTGATTCCGGCAACTACTCGTAACAAGATGTTTAACGAGCTTGTAGGTGAACTTGGACCATCTCTTCAAGAAGAACAGCGGCGCGGACATTCTGTGGATTCTCGAGTGTCATCATGTAATTGTCTATACCTTTAAAAAACTAACACTATTTGTCGATTCTATTAACTTTTACTTTCATTTCCTTCTAAATAGGTACCTACTGACGGCACTTCTATTTTATGGTAGTGGGTACTATCAGCTGGCATGCTGTAGGGTTGCAGCATGAGCCAAAAATCTGTTAGTCGAGTAATACATACATACATACATATAATCACGCCTCTTTCCCGTGGGGGTAGGCAGAGACCAGTTCTTTCCACTTGCTACGATAATACATGCTGTTAATCAAAAATTATACATAATATGAAATTCCCTATGACCCATGAAGAGCGGCGAGCAGCTAAAGAAAAAAATTAATATGCCCAACAGCAATTCCCAGATACATTTGGAGCCATAGACTACATAGCTCCATAACTGCATAACCTCTTTATGCAGTTTTGGAGCTAAGTAACTAATGTAAGTAAGTAATGTACTAACAAATGTAAGTGTTCAACATGAGGGCCATTCATTAAATATACAAGCTGTAAGTTTATCTTCAGTAGTTATTTTTTACCTATTTATTTGCTTGAACATATGAACAAAGTATCTTTCCCGTATTATTAACAGTAAGAAAAGTGTTATTGAAAAAACATTTCACTCAGTAGTTTAGGTCAAATTTAAATAATACTTAAATAATACATAAAAAAAATAACTTACTTAAATAGTCTTAAGGGCTTACATTGTAATTTTAATGCAAGTACCAAGTTCCACTCTGGAACATCATTAATACTTAATTAATATATTTATTTACTTATTTAGCACAAATAGGTACATCTAATTAAGTATATTTTAGGTGTGTGACAAGACTTATTAATTTTAAACATCAACACTAAATGGCCAGGAGCTAGACACAACGCTCTCATTTGGGCAAATTCACTTATATGCTCAACCATGAGGTTATATTTTGACAATGGGGATCACCATACATTTACTTGATGAGTTAAAGTTTATTTGGAAGAAAATGTCTATAAGGCTTCCAAATGCAATTTCAATGTTTAATCTTTTAAGTGATGATGGATATCCTCTGGAGCCATGGTTGATGACCTCAATGAAAAATCAATGCCTTGGGAGCCAGACACATAAAAATATTCTTTGGTAAACTAGTTTGTTAATAGGTGTCTATCTCATAAACGCTAGTTAATGTATGAGCCCTACACTGCTGTCCTAATAGTCAATGCATATGCTGTGCTACACATCATACATATTAAATTCAGATTGATGGAACCATATTTCACCACATCCACAGAAATAATTGTTCATAGCTTCAATGATGATGGCCTAGAAGATATAGGTGATCATGTTGTTTGAGACATATTAGATTAGACTATTTTGTCTTTATTATATTAGAATAATCTTAACATTTTATGTTTTTATCACAAGACAAATGACTGGTACTGGGCAAGCTGTAGCATAGTGTGTACAAAGATGACTCATAAATACTGTTTTTACTTCATTATCTATAGTAATAATGTGTGAATTGAAACAAAACATTAAGCATCTCAATTTATTTATTTTTTTTATTTCACAATACAATTAATGCATCTCTTATTTTACTGCTCAAATAAAAGAGACAGACGCCTCAGCTTGCACTTTGGTTGCCTCCGCCTGCATTTTGGCAGCCAGCATCTGTAACGAAAAATATAGATAGATTAAATGCTTGTAAATTTTTTAGCATGCTGGTTTGCAGATTTTTGTTCTTACTTAATCATGCTATAACGGCAGAAGAGATTCATAGGAAAGGAGGATGGCAAGAATGCATGTATTTTGGGACCCACTGATAGGAGTAGCGTTCATCATGGAAACTTATTAATAGTTGTAGATCGTGACAAAACTAACAAAAAAGCAAATGGGATGAAAGTCTAAAAAAGTGGGAGAAAAAAGATATACTTAAAAATAGCAAATAACCTAAAACTAGAAAATAACCTAAAATTATTATTCAAAAAAGGATCAGGATCATGCCAAATGGAAGTCCGAAGTCTCAACCTACCCCTCTGGGTGACAGGCCTGACTGTTTGTGTGTATTATTCAAAAAACACTCATTATGGGTATATGTTATTGCTCAATTGTATCTGAATATTATTTGTATTGAAAAGTACATATAAGTACCTATAATAAGTACTTTTATATGTATATAGGTGACATGGAAGTACTAAAGTTTATTCCATAGTAAATGGTATTTTGTTAGTAATCAAACTTTTAACACATAATTATTTATGTTGTCTTTACTTAATTACTGCTTGCTAGAAGAGAGATGTAAAAGGTTGACCAGCTGTGGGACAATTTCGATTATTGAAGAAAAGGTACCTACTTTTACTTTAAATACAAACTAGTTACAATGAGGAAAGCAATAACAATAAAAACATTATAAGGGCTGTAATGTCAAAAAATGTCTGGTGAACAAAGTATATATAATCACTACATTAATTGGCAAATAATGTTCTGCTAATGCAAGATAACCTATTTTTTTAATCAATTAAATAATTTAATTCTTGTGACTCCCGTATTCTAAATATAATTAATCTAAATATAATTATAATTAATATAACATTTTTGTCATTGTCCTTTGGCACATAATATATAGAGCATATCCTGGATTAACACAGGATACTTCCCATCTCTGATATAGTAGATAAAACAGAAGGGCACAGAAATATATAATGTAAGTAGGCATTAAATGAATAACAAAGCTCATACTTACTTATTTGTGGTGCTGGTGACTGCATTATTATTTCATGCACCTGTTGTTCAGTGGTAATGCCTCGAATGCCAGTCTTTATCATTTCTTTCCTTAACTTTGTTGCTTTAGTGAGCCCCGGCTTTTAGTCTCTACATACCTACAAAATAAATCATTATGTATTCAAGTAAATATTAGTTACACTAGTGCTGCACGATGTGCTGGCTGATTTATGTATAAGCTATTAGAAGAAAATCTAGAAAATTCTTTAATAGAAACTTAACTGTTAGCCACTACTCTGGCATTTTGAAAGGTGGAGCTGGTTGAAGTCGTCGGCTACTTTCTTCCAGTCTATTTTAAAATTCTTCTTGCCCTGCAGGCCGGTAAAGTTTCTTATAAACAAAAATGGACAAGCTGCTGACTTCGACAGAAATGGCTCAATCTGCCACCTTGTTACGCGTGGTGTGCGTTTACGTCTGAAAAATACATAGAAGTATATTCAAAATGTAAACATTACATAGTCTTTTAACAAAGCATTCAATATAGGTACAACGATAGATTTGAAATTAGGTGTTGTAGGTTGTACTTACGTGCAGCTCGAAACCGGGCCTGCGCCTGCATAATTGTTCCCCTTAAGACCATTGAATATATCACGAACATGATACAAAAAAGAACATCATACGTACTAAGAATTAATTATTTTTGCAATCAACAAGAAGTTAACATTGAGACATTGTTTGTCAACTTTAATTTTGTTTTGTACTGATTTTGACATTAATACAGTGTTGCAAGGAGTCAAACTTTTATGTCCTTTGATATTTAATGGATGCCATACACGATCAAGTCTACCGTCAAGTATGCAGCGCGCTTGAAGCGGCGTCCGGTAAACTTGACGGTGTATGGCTGTGGGTGTGCATGACAAGTCTACTTGAAGCAAAAATTGAATTTTGATTCTGCCGACTTGATCAAGCTTGCAGCGTCATGCAAACTTGAACGTGTGTATGAGCGGTCAAGTATGCATGACGTTAGTCGGCTAATCGGCTTCGGCAAGCGAAGACGTACGCATGTACCGCACGTGACGAGCGCCATGTCGCAAAATACTGCGCGTTATAGAGAAGTCCTCTGCGACTTCATGAATATTTATAGAAATGAGCAATGTTTGTGGCAAATAAAAAATAAATTGTACCACAGCAGGTAAGTGTACATATACTCGTATATATTTACAACGCAACCAATTAAATACTTTTTTTTACTTATTTCACTAAAAGATAGGAAAATTAATGCAAACATGAACTACCTACTCGTAATAAGATTTTATTTATGTAAAAAGTAAGAAGTCTTGAGATGTGATAACGAAATATAAGTTTCAAAGATGTTTTATAGGTCATAAAACATCTTTGATAAGTTTGTTTTCTTTTACTTTCTACTGATTTTTTGAGTGTTTCATAGTGTTATCCGCTTTTGTTAATCGCTTTTATAACAAAATTCCAGAAAATATACAAAATTTGACATGCTCAAAGTTCAAAAACTTTATTAAACTAAGTTTGTATAAGAACTGTTATTATAATATTAAAGAATTTATAAATGACAATAACTCCTGGAAATGAGGTGATCGCTACCAAGCTATTAATAATTTGTTGTGTTGTTAATTCGTGAACATAGGTACCTACATGATTGTAAGCTGTTATTTAAGGCGACACATCGAAAACCGTTGAAGTGGGCTATCGCCGGACTAACCAGAGTAAAACATAATTTCTATAAAAACTTCAAAAACGCCGTCATAAGGTCTAAAATTGCGTAGCGCCCGCGACTATTAAAACCGCTTAGAAATCGCGTAGAATCTTAAAATATTTAAAAAAAATTACTGATTTTAGCAATCAAAATAATGAGCAAGTAAATTACGAATATTGATTTTATGAATGTATTGGAGTGGTTTTCAAGCATATAGATTAAGTAATTTCGTTGTAATTTCAACTATAGTGATTTTTTACAGGTGTTTTCGCAAATTATTATGATCGAGTCAAAATTTTACAATCGTGTTTTTGAGCAAGCAAACTAGAGATAAAGACATGAATTTACCTATATCAAAATTCCAGTTTCGTTAGTCGTGTCATACTCCTATACTATTCGATGAAAGGAGGTGCATTTTTTCGCGGTGTCGCCTTAAAAAAAGTCCCGCTGGGTTTCTTGCTGGTTCTTCCCAGGACAGAGGTTTTTTTTTCGAACCAGTGGCAATTAAACAAAAGTGTGACTTTCAATAAGTATTATTTAAAATCTATATTGAATAAAAAAGTTTCTGTTTCTGTTATTAGTAATACCCGCGCACGTAATTAAAAATTGTAAAAATACCCTACCTACGTTTAATGCAATTTTCAAGCCTGAGCTTGAGTAGGAAAGTGGTTTCCCTTGGTGTATAATATATTTTGAGAACTTTTTGTTGAATACCTAATTGTACCTACATGTAGTATAAAAATACTTTTATTTCAGAGACAAGAGAAATGCGGCTCTAGATAAACTAGTTGCGAAGTACAAAGAAGTGGAAGAAAGCGCAGACCGTGAAACGGTTTTAAAAAAATTAATTCGTTGAGGACGAATTATAAAAAAGAAAAAAAGAAAGTCCAAAATTCAAAACAGTCTGGTGCCGGAGCTGATGTTATATTTGAACCTAAGCTTTGGTATTTCAAGGAGTTAATATTTTTAGATGACCAAATTGACCCAAGGACTTCTTGTTCAAATATTAATGACGAAGTAGAGGATCTGCGCGATGAACTAGACGAGGAGGAAGAGTCAACTGTAAGTATAGGCAGGCCTCTGTCACTCTTGCTATCTGCGTGAAATAAAATCCTAATCGGTATATAATAGAATACACCGAGGTGTTTTGTAATGTATTAGTATTTTTCTGCCGACTTCCAAAAAGGAGACGGTACTCAATTCGACTGTATGTTTTTTTAATGTGTGTTACCTAATAACTTTTTACTGGGTAAACCGATTTCGATAATCCTTTTTTTATTTGAAAGCTGATACTTCTCGTGTGGTCCCGTATGAATTTGATCAAGGTCAGACCAATAGTTTTTGAGTTATTCTTAATAACTTATATTGAAGTCGGCTGTACAAAGTTTTTAATTTTAATTTATGTTTTATGTTGTTAAAAAAACGTTACCCCCACACTAGGATCTTCTCTTGCATCGTGGAGGCAGTTAACAAACATAAATTGCGCAAGAACAAACATCTAGACTCGGAACAATTATTTGTAGGCCATACAAATACTTTATCCGAGCGAGATTCGAACCCGCTGCCCCAGCGTTGCAACTCATTGCTAAGTCAAAACTATTTGTTCTATGCGAGAGAAGGTTAATATGCAACATCGAGGAAAATTAAGATTATACAACGTGAACGTCTTTGAAACTCATAATTTACCTACTTACCATTTTCAACCGACTTCAAAAAAGGAGGAGGTACTCAATTCGACTGTTTTTTTAAATGTGTGTTACCTCAGAACTTTTTCTAGATGAATCGATTTTGATGATTCCATTTTTATTTGAAAGCTGGTGCTTATAATTTAAACAGCCCATATAAATTTGATCAAGATCTGACCAATAGTTTTGTAACTATCCTTAATAATGCGTATTTGTATTGAAGTCGGTTGTACAACATTTTTAATTTCATTATTTGTCTCTCTTCCTCTCTTTTCAAAAAACGTTTTAAAACTAGGATTTTCTCCTATATCGCAGGGACAGTTTATATACATAGAACAGACCCAGGACAATTATTTGTAGGCCATACAAATACTTGTTCCGTACGGGATTCGAACCCGTGGCCCTTAGCGCTGCAATTCATTACTAAGCCACTGCGCCACGGAGCCGTTACTTGTCTGTTTCACATTTTTTGCTATTTACAAACGTGCGATACGTGACTTCATTATTAATGAAAGAGTGGCAATGAGAAAGCTGCTAATTTCAATCTTTCTTTAATCGACCAAATATAAAACATGAACCAGTATACACTGACCTTGCATTAGTAGGCAGTCATTAGTACTGGAAGGTCTACTTACACTGAACTTTTTTATAAGGTCATTGGTATTGTTGAATATTTCTTGTTGTAATTATGTATTATAATAAAACTAGTTTGTTGGCACTTTATATCACTTTATATATTTATTTTACTATAACAGATATATGCTTTTATAATATATTATAACTATATATAGAGAGAGGCGTTGAGCCTGTTAATGTGTTGACTGAAGAGTGTGTCAAGAAAACAGAAGCGAGAAAAAGAAGACTATTTTGCGTTCGTAATTTAAATTTAATATTTTAAGTTTCTAGTTTAAATATAATATTAAACATTCTCGCCCGCTTTCTTGATTTTATCTATACATCTAATAAGAATTTTGTTTGTACTACAAAATTATACAATTTAAACGTCTATTAAATGAAAGTAAAATGTTAGTTAGTTCTAATACAAATAACATTTTTTTAAAGTATGATATTGCAAATTAGTACATTATTTATAAATAATACAATTGTAGGCATATAGTACAAAGTTAACTAATTTTTATTTTGTTATTATTTAAGCATTTGATAATAAAACTAATTTATTTATAGGTCATATTTGTAACAATTTATGTCTTGACTGTAGTTCACAAATGTAGCTATTATAAAAATGTTTCCAAAACTGTTGTTTTATTTTTATGACTCTCAGATATAGACTCAATCTATTAAAAGAGTAGTGTATAATAATTTGTAGGTCATCTTAACATTACCTAAGTGACGCTGTAACAGTGACTTGACCGACTTTACTCCAGCCTCGTAAAGGCTACCCATATGACTTGCAAGAGGAACGGTAAAAGACCACTAAATTGCGTTTTTAATACAATAGTTTATTATTTCACTGTAAGATCTGTCATACTTTAATAGCTTGTATAACTGGTCATTTAGTTCGTGATGAGTAAAAGGGCGATCCAGAGACACTTGGCACTGGGAGGCAAGCCATCTACTGCTCACAGGCTTGCGCTCGGAATCTTACACAACGAACGCATCCATGTATTACCCTTTTAACTTTATTGCGACCGTTGATGGGCCAATATTTTAATTTTATGTAAGAGAGAGTGCTTTGGATGTCTGATTGTAACAGACATAGATGATACTGTCGTACAAGGAGTGTAGTTATATGTTTCGCAGGAGTAATGATTGGATGTGCTTGATTATAAGCAAGCTTAGAGATGAGAGTATTATTGAACAAATAAGTGTTCGTTTTTGTCTTAATGTTGAATATATTATGGATATTTTAGCTTGAGCTCTAGATGAGATGTATAGCATTGTGTTGAAGTGGCGAATAATAATGCTTGTTGTTATCTGAATTTGGGAATTCGTTATGTATTCTTCATGTCCTAAGCGTATGATGATCTCGTGTATGAATTCTTTATATTGTATGTGTAATTCTGAGTTATTTTTATATCTGTATTCCTATTGTAGAAATCAACAATCATCAATTTTAAATGAAGTTCCTAATTGTAAAAACTTAGTCGATACAGGTAATTCTACTAAGTAATTTCCGCTTTCATCTTAAGTTGTTGTATTAATGTATAGTTGTTCTGAAGAGAGTATGACCTTTTGTATGATTTTTTCTTATCGTTCGTGTTTGTGTGGATGATGCATGTAAGTAAACTTGTGAATTATTTATATCAGCTTGACTATCAACTACCAATGTACCCGATACCACCCATCCTAAAACTGTCTCTATAAGATGTGGTCGGTTCGGACCTAGACGTATATGTCCTAATAATAAGAGATCGTAGAAAATTCCCGCCCCTAGAAGCAGATCAATTTCTTTACTCATATAAAATTGTGGATCAGCTAGAAACTTAGATTGTTTATATGGAATGTTCCATGTGTCAGTTTGTATATAAGAGTGAGGGAGAGGAACAGTTATGTTGTTCATTACGATGAATTTGAGATTTGTTTTATAATCTGTGTGATACGAAGCTATGTTTGTGTTAATACATAGTTGCGTTTGTTGATTTGATTCTCCGATGCCTTGAATTATATGATGATTATAACGATATTTACAATTTAATAAACTCGCTAGTCTGTGGGTAATAATGTTTACCTCACTTCCCGAGTCCAAGAGTGCTCGTGCGGAATGCCAGCGACCAGCAGAATCTTGAACCTTCACAATAGCTGTGGGAAGCAATATTTGGTTATATTTACTATTTGAAATTAGTACTGTGGAAGGAGTTACTTGAATATGTTCTTGATTATGTTCTACGTTTGTCTTGATGTGGGGAGATTTAATGTTAGATGACTGTTGTCTGAGTGCATAAGATTGTATGATTGGAGAAATATGATTGCTACGAGATTGTGTGCGTGGTGTATGTGGCATATCTGTAATATTATTTTGTGTATGATATATGTGTGAGTCATTACGAGACTGATATGTGGGCGATGTCTGTTGAAGACGATCATGACCAGGATATAATTGTGTTGCAGTAACTGTGTTTACTTTCCTGGGAGGATTCTGCATGTGTATTGTTGTGTAATGCATTTTATGGCATAAAGCGCATCGACTCTTAGAGCATTTGTGTTGAAATGTAAATGGTTGTAAGCAATTAAAACATAAAGAATTTGCTTTTATAAAGTCTATACGTTTATCAACTGGCATTTCTAAAAAGTTAGGACATTTATATAAAACATGAGCGTTTTGACATAATACGCATTGTATTGTTGGCTTTGTATGTAATGAAATTGACACATGAGATAGTTTAGGGAAAGATTTTGAAGTTTGTGGTGATGTCCTATCTGAGTCTTTCATAAGATCATAGGCAGTAACTCTTAGATTTAAGAAATCTAACAGCTCTTCTAGTGTGGGAATGTTGGAATCCTTCCTACTTATTTCCCAAGAGGCACGCAATGAATTATCTAAGTTTTGTGTTATTAAATAAACTAGAATAAGATCCCAAGAATCTACAGTAACGCCTAGTGCTCGGAGAGAATCAAGACTTTGTTGAAATACAGTCAAGTATTGTTTTAAATTATGTCTCGTTATAGTAGGAAAATTTATGAAACTTTTAAGATGATGGTTTACAATAATTGTTTTATTTTCATACCTTTTAGTTAATAATTCTAAAGCCTTATTATAATTTTCTTCAATAATTAATAATGAATTAATTAAACCAGCTGCTTCACCTTTAACCGACGTCTTCAAATATTGAAACTTTTGTAATGTTGGAATATTTGCGCTGTCAACAGAACACATAAAAAGGTTTTTGAAAGCAGGCCACTCTTTAAGGTTACCGTCAAACGTAGGTAGCTTCAGCTTAGGTAGTCGAACCTGAGATTCTGCTTTTTCACGATGAGTCGCTGTACTGTTGCGATGTGTTAGCAGTTTTTCTATATCTGCTTGAATTGTAAAACATCTATTTTCGACGAAATCCCGTTCTGCGTCGTGTACTGAAGCTTTTGTTTGACCGTTGTCAATTAATTCTATTTTATATTGTACTTCATCATACTGATCCATTATACGAACTAACTCCTGTGGTCTGACTATGAGTTCCGATGTATTTTGTAATTCCGCATTAAAAATTTTAACAAAATTGAATATCCGTGTTAATTTACCTTTTAAAGAGCTTCTTTTCGTTATTAATAATGAAATATCTTCGCTATCTTTTTCCGCCATATTTTATAGTAATAATCTCAAATAGTTAAGAGTTCGTTCTTTTTTATTTATTTATGTTCGTTATATTTTTTCTGTTCTTTTTTATTGCTTTTGCAAGAAAATTATTATATTTATATTTTCATTTCGCTTTTGCGTCTTAAAAATTATTTCTATAATATATTGACAGCTGTCTCACCTTTTATTTTTTCGACGATGTTCTTATGTCGTTGGTTCATTTCGATCACGATTTCCTCGGGCCTTTCCAATGAAATGAAAATGGCCGACGTTCACAATCTTCACCGGGGAGAAGGACCACAAAAATGTTGAATATTTCTTGTTGTAATTATGTATTATAATAAAACTAGTTTGTTGGCACTTTATATCACTTTATATATTTATTTTACTATAACAGATATATGCTTTTATAATATATTATAACTATATATAGAGAGAGGCGTTGAGCCTGTTAATGTGTTGACTGAAGAGTGTGTCAAGAAAACAGAAGCGAGAAAAAGAAGACTATTTTGCGTTCGTAATTTAAATTTAATATTTTAAGTTTTTAGTTTAAATATAATATTAAACAGGTATTATACGCGAAAATCTCTAAATGTGAGATTTTTATGTTTTAGGATGCTGAGATTAATCAAGATAATAGCCTACAAACACAACTAAATGAACAAAATGTTACTGATGATAACACATCAAGCAACAAAACTAGCAGGCCAACACCAAGGAAAAAAAATGATAGAGATCTTATGAACAGCGTCCTACAATCCGTTAATGATCATTTTAAGCGTCCTAGGGACGAAATTAAACAAGAAGACCGTCACGATATTTATTGTAAGTCCATTGCAAGTAAACTTCGTGACTTACCAAGAAAACAAAGAATGCTGGCTGAAAAATTAATTAACGAAGTTTTGTTTGAAGCTGAGTGGGGAAATCTAACACTAGAATTCAAACTTATTAGTACTGGTCTAATTTTTCAATACTAATTTTTCGGCAGCATACCAATACTCGCCTCCCGGTCATTCGTTGCATCAAACAATCCAAAATTCGATTCCTTCATCTAATATACAGCATCAAACAATCCCAACTCCATCTTCACCTAACATGCAACGACCTACCACACCATCATATCAAGTGTTATATTCCAATAATTCCTCATATACAAACTCAAATCCCATTATTTCACTAAACATGCAGAATCAAATGAACCCAAGTCCAATTCCTTCACAATTTCTTCCTTTACAAAGTGATGATCCTCCTACAGTATTACTATCAATTCCAGAAAATTCAGCAGCATCCTTTATCACCAATTTTCGAATTTAGTGTCTAGTTTATTAATTTAATTTGTCGAATCAGATTGTTTGCTAGGAAATAAATAAATAGTACCTAGAAATTTCTTTTATTGTACCTACTTCATTATTTGATATAGGAGAATAAATAAATGTATAACTTTTAGTGATATTGTTTTATTTGCATTCTACCATTTTGTACATTTAAATAGGTGTTACCAAAATAGGGTTAATAATGATAATCTATTGAGGCTATTATCATCTTATTTACAATACATGCCAAAGATAGATGTTTCATTTCAAACAAAATTGTTCTGCCACTGCACTTTGCCTTCGTTTACAAAGTCATTTTGAAACTCTTGTCTGATCATTTTAGCATCATTAGTTATGTTACCATGATTTCTTCGTTGTAAAATTTCCATGTTCGACCTTGCAGTAGTGTACCCATCGGTAACAATTGTCCCGTTAAAGGTGTTTTCTTGATAAAAACATTGTCGAGGTGCATAAGAGTTGGGTACATGCTCCATTAAAAAATTGTGTAAAGCGATAGTAGCCATCACTACATTCTGTATATTTTTTGGCTCTAAGTTTATTTGAGTACGGAAAATGCGAAATCGTGAAGATAATATGCCAAATGCGTTCTCAACGACATTTCTTCCGCGAGATAATCTATAGTTAAAAATTTTTTTTTTCGTGGGTATTTAAATCTCCTTGGCGATATGGCTTTATCATATCGGTTCTCAAAGGAAACGCATCATCACCAATAAAGACGTACGGTAAACATCTTGAGCTGCCTTCGATATTTTCGGGGTTTGGAATATTTAACTTTTTATTTTGCAACTTTTGGAAAAACTTAGTATTTTGTAACACTCCTCCATCGGAAACTCTTCCATTTGTTCCAAAATCAGCTAGTAAAAACCGATATCTTGCGTCAACTATCGCCATGAGAACCATGCTGTGGCGTCCTTTGTAGTTGTAGTAATAAGACCCGCTGTCAGCAGGAGGAATTATATCAACATGCTTCCCATCTATTGCCCCAAGACAATGAGGGAAATTCCAAATTTCTTCAAACTGGTGAGCAATTTCTCTCCATTTATTAGCAGTATCGGGAAACTGTAAAAAAGCATCACAACTATTACATATTGACAAAAGTAACACATGTCTCTGCCCCTACTAAAAAGATTTAGGAAACATGAAAGTAAAACTGATAATTATATTAAGTATATATCTAACTATCTAGAGATATTTTCATAAATTTTTTTTATTTATATTTTTTTCTTAATTCTAATAGTATTAAGCATATATTATATTTATCACTTATTATTTGGTTTTTACAGCATCGTCTTGGTTTTGTAAAGTTATGATGCTGTTACTGTTTTTGTAATAAATAAATAAATAAAAATAAAATATTTTAGTTATTTACATTTTAGAAATCTTATATTCGAATTTCACATGCAACGCTCACTTTATGTCTAGGTATATTATTATCGAATTGTACCTAATAAAGCCAAGAGCGGGAGCCAGGATACTGATAGCACAGGGTAACCTAGTTTGGGCTCCTGTCTCCCAGAACAATTAAAAACGCTTTAACTATTTTTGGAAGAAATTTAACTGTGTAAAATGTGGGAGAAATAAATGTTTATTATTATTATTATTATTATTATCTCACCTGCATATAATCATTTTGCAGAACTTTATATATAGCAGCACATGTTTCTGGAATTATTCGTCCTAAAGCTTGAGGCGATATTATGGCTGAATATTTTAGACACTCATATGATCTCCCTGATGCAAGAAATCTTAAAGTTGCCAATAGTCTTTCATGTGTCGTAATAGCATTTCTCATGACAGTGTCTTCTTTCTGAATTAGGGGAGTCACCATAGATAGAAGTTTTAAATAAGTTTCTTCATTCATTCGTACATAGTTACGATAATCTTTCGGAGCAATCCTTAATTCTTTCACTAAATTTATATGAGATAATTTTTTTCGTTTCATTAACCAGTTTTTGCACCACATCGAACGATCTTTCCTTTTTGTTTTCTTAATTGCGAGCGATAAGCCCAATATGGCTAACGCATCGTCGTCCGTCACTAGTGACGCCATGGTTTCAACTAATGCGGCATCATGCAAACTTGACGGCGAACTTGAACGTGTGTGGCCTATATGGATGCACTGCAAACTTGACGCCGCTTCAAGCGCGCTGCAAACTTGACGGTAAACTTGATCGTGTATGGCCGGCATAATGGATGCCATACACGATCAAGTCTACCGTCAAGTATGCAGCGCGCTTGAAGCGGCGTCCGGTAAACTTGACGGTGTATGGCTGTGGGTGTGCATGACAAGTCTACTTGAAGCAAAAATTGAATTTCGATTCTGCCGACTTGATCAAGCTTGCAGCGTCATGCAAACTTGAACGTGTGTATGAGCGGTCAAGTATGCATGACGTTAGTCGGCTTCGGCAAGCGAAGACGTACGCATGTACCGCACGTGACGAGCGCCATGTCGCAAAATACTGCGCGTTATAGAGAAGTCCTCTGCGACTTCATTAATATTTTATAGTGGTAGAGCCAAGCGGCAGCTGTTGCTGTCGCACGGATGGGCCGGCTCGAACCGGGGTGGTACCACGACCTCACAGAAAACCAGCGTGAAGTAGAGGTTTACCTCTGCGTTTCGCTTGGTGAGTGCAGGTGGCCGGAGGCCCTTTTTACTGGAAATGAGGCATTCCATCTTAGTCCTCACGGGTGACAACGCATCTACATTTTGATTTGTAATAGAGGATAGATGTAGATGTCTATGGGCCGCAGCAACCACGTACCATCAGGTGGACTGTGTGCTCGTTTGTCACCCTTATCCTATAAATAAAAATAAATAAATATTTATAGAAATGAGCCATGTTTGTGGCAAATAAAAAATAAATTGTACCACAGCAGGTAAGTGTACATATACTCGTATATATTTACAACGCAACCAATTAAATACTTTTTTTTACTTATTTCACTAAAAGATAGGAAAATTAATGCAAACGTGAACTACCTACTCGTAAGAAAGACGTAAAGACGACTCGTAGAAGTCTTGAGATGTGATAACGAAATATAAGTTTCAAAGATGTTTTATAGGTCATAAAACATCTTTGATAAGTTTGTTTTCTTTTATTTTCTACTGATTTTTTGAGTGTTGCATAGTGTTATCCGCTTTTGTTAATCGCTTTTACAACTAAATTCCAGAAAATATACAAAATTTGACATGTTCAAACTTCAAAAACTTTATTAAACTAAGTTTGTATAAGAACTGTTATTATAATATTAAAGAATTTATAAATGACAATAACTCCTGGAAATGAGGTGATCGCTACCAAGCTATTAATAATTTGTTGTGTTGTTAATTCGTGTAACATAGGTACCTACATGATTGTAAGCTGTTATTTAAAAAAAAGTCCCGCTGGGTTTCTTGCTGGTTCTTCCCAGGACAGAGGTTTTTTTTCGAACCAGTGGCAATTAAACAAAAGTCAGACTTTCAATAAGTATTATTTAAAAACTATATTGAATAAAAAAGTTTCTGTTTCTGTTTCTGTTATTAGTAATACCCGCGCACGTAAATAAAAATTGTAAAAATACCCTTCCTACGTTTAATGTAATTTTCAAGCCTGAGCTTGAGTAGGAAAGTTGTTTCCCTAGGTGTATAATATATTTATTAACACGTTAAGTGCGAAACAGGGCTTGAAACGCCCTGTACGTGTCTTGTCTTTATAGCGGTAAAGAAAAACTTAAACTTCTCTGTCGTGCGCGAGGCATAACTTCCATCTGGTTCAGTATAGGAAAGAGATAACTATATATCTGAGATGTGCTATTGATTCCTAGTTCTATGGTATACTTATTTTAATACCGGGTTTCTTAGACCTCGTGCCGCACTGAACAAATAAAATTCTAACACAGTGCGGTAAGAGGTTCCGAAAACCTCGTACCCCCGCGCACCTCGTACCGCACTCTACGCTAGCTTCACGCGGTTAGTGTTGTGCAACGCATAGTGTTGCCAATTTAGCGACTTTGTCCCTAGAAATGACGACTTTTGCTTAAGTCTTAGCGACTAAAAAAAAGTTTTGACGACAAAAATAGTTTAGCGACTTATCTAGCGACTTTTGTAGTAGGTATAAATTAAATCAGTTCTAGAGTCATTATTGGATAAATTTTTAGTCAACTCGATACAGTGCCAAGAGATACAATAAGGAAAACAAACGCACCAAACTTTATTAAATTAAAGTCTCTTTAAAAAACATATTCAAATCAAAACATTTAAATTTTCTTTCAAATCTAAGTTTTACATTAACCTATTAGTACCTATATCAGATTTTAATTCATAAATACTATTTAATATCGCATGTAGCCGAGTTGGCAACACTGCTCAATAGCTCGACTCTTTCATTGGTTGGCGGTCGGTCACGGGCACACGGGGGAATCCCCGGACATTATGTTTTGTATACTGCACAATCGGTTTGACATTTTACATCGATCGACTCAGTTGATTGTTTCATAACATCCGGCTCGCTCTCTTTTGAATTAACTTTAAGTAATTATAAAGTGCTTAAACTTGTGTTGTGATACTTGTGATAGCTTAAATCATGGAGTTACCTGATAAAAAAAAAGCAATACGTTCAAAAATATCGAGATACGTGGGAAGCAGAATCTGAATTTAAGGGATGGCCGAAACCAGTTTTAGGAGACTCATCTAAAGCAAGATGTCAAATATGTGTCACAGAGTTTTATGCTAAATTGAGCGATATTAGAAAACATGCGAAAACTAATAAGCATAAACAAAAATTGGATTTAAAAAAACACAGGCCACCTTACCCTTTAAAATTGCCCCGAAAACTTTAGTTAGAATATCAAGCAAAGCGGAAGGTGTCCTTTCTTTATTTATTGCAGAACATTGTTCAATTTTAGCAGTTGATCATTTAGGCGAACTGTGTAAAAAGGTGTTTGCCAGTGATGAGGGCGCGCAAAATATGCAATTACATCGTACAAAGTGTACTAACATAATAACTGAGGTATTGGCTCCATATTTTACACAATCATTGGTTGAAGATATAGGTGACCGAAAATATAGTGTACTTATTGATGAATCCACAGATGTTTCAGTTTCAAAAACACTGGGAATCGTTATACGGTATTATAGTGTAAAAAACCAAGCCATTATATCAGCATTTCTAAAGCTCGCTTTAATAGAATCTGCTGATGCGAAAAATCTGACTGCTGTTCTTGTGAATTCCTTGAAAGATCTTAAAATCCCAATAGCGAATATGATAGGAATTGGTACAGATAATGCTTCTGTGATGGTGGGAGTAAATAATGGTCTCGTCGAAATACTCAAGAAAGAACATGGCTTAAAACATCTGATATTGATTCGCTGCGTTTGTCATTCTCTACAGCTTGCGGTTTCACACGCCTCCGTAAATACTTTACCTAGAAACATAGAGTTTCTTGTACGGGAAACCTACAATTGGTTCTCTATTTCGCCTAAAAGACAAGAAGAATATAAAAAGGTTTATGAGACTATAAATTATGGTAAACAGCCGCTAAAAATTTTGAAAGTCTGTGCAACCCGTTGGCTCTCAATTGAACCAGCTGTTTGTAGGATTCTGGAGCGGTGGGAAGAACTAAAGCTACATTTTTCATTTGCAATGGGTAATGATAATTGCTACACAGCTGATCTTTTGTACAGAATGTATTGTGATGACTCAAATCAACTTTACATGCTTTATCTTAAACAAACTTTAAAAGACGTACAAATAGCACTAAAAGCATTTGAAGGGGAAGATAATGATCCCACAAAACTATTAGATACTCTCGTCTTTCTCATGCAGTCACTTGGAAAAAACATAGTTTTTCCTACATTTGATTTGTTGACAACACCAGTTCCAAACGAATGTATGTACGCGAATCCGCACCTTGGCTATACGTTTGAACAGAAAATGTTGGAGTCAAGTTTGTCTCAAGAAAATAAAATTTATTTAAAAAAGAGATGCATCGATTTTAGTCTGAAACTCATAAAGCAGATTCAGCAAAGACTACCAAACAATGTCACTATCCTGAAAAAAATGTCAATGTTAAATGTTGAAGAAACATTAAAAGTGAATAAAACTAATGCATTAGCCGATGTAGCCAAAGAATTAGGTTTTAGTAACGAGTTTATAGACGGTATGCTGCAAGAATGGCATAATATTAACTTTATAAAGTGGAACAACACTACTAACACTTTTCGATTTTGGATTGAGGTTTTGCAGTATAAAAATGCCGTAGGAGAAAATCCTTTTTCTTTGATTTCACAATTGGCAATCACTATTTTAATACTACCACACTCAAACGCTGAAGTCGAGAGAGTCTTCAGTTCTATGAATATAATAAAAACAAAACAACGCAATAGATTGTCGTTAAAAACTATTAATGCGTTGATCCTGTTGAGAGATCAGTTAAAAAAACAAAATAAAAATTGTGCATCTTTTGAAATACCGTCGGAAGTGCTGCAGCTTATTGGAACGAACAAAAGCTATTCCTTTGCAACAACAAAAAACGTTGAACTGCAACATCCGCTTTTGAGCGACGTTCAACCCTCTACTTCTGCTGCGGCTGTATTAGATGAGCATGAGACTGAAGAATTATTTGACTTATTAAGTGACGATGATGAATATAACTGATTTAATATTTTTATTGTAATTTTGATTATTTTTATTTGTTTATTACAAATGCAAATACACGTTTCCAAGTATTTTTAATTTATGTGATTGTTACAATGATTATACTCGTATAATTTAATTAAAAGTATTTTTTTTATATGTAGGTACTTTTAATTTTTTTCACACTCCTATCCCAACCTTTCACACTGCATGCCGGTGGCCTCTTCTGCCTCTCTCATACAAAATCCTGCGTTCGCTTCTGGTGGAATTAGTTTTAGCGACTTTCTAGCGACTTTTGATGTTGAGTCTAGCGACTCGAACTTCTAGGGGTTGGCAAAACTGGCAACGCATGCCAGGCTGCGCACGCGACGAAGAACTGCTGTCGATTATGTCGAAACGTTGCCGAAGAAAGTTAATTAAAGAGGATGATGAAGAAAAACCGGGTG